TCCAGTAATAGACCAGACACAGAAACATGAAGAATCTTGGTTAAACATGAAAAACAACGACCTGGTGGAGAATGTGTGCTGCAAAGCTAAATATCTGCTGTTATGTGTTGCTAAGGGAGAATAGGAAATTTCCTCTCCAGACAGGCCCCACCAGCGGATTAACCTCTGCTTCAGCTCTCCTAATCTACCACCCAAAACTGATTCTTCTTACACTTCAGCCTTTTCTGAGTTAGATTTTGCCTGATTTAAAGCACAAAGGAAGGGAATCGGATTGATTTCCAACCTGCTTCTTGAATATTTACAAGGCCAGACCTTGTAAGTCTTGAATCCCAAACAGCTAGAAGCAGTTTTTCTTCCTTTGTGTTCTTACAGCCCTCCTTTGTGTTTCTCTTAGAGCCCTAATAATCTGCCTTGTTAATTCCCTATTTCTTTATCTTACCTTGTAACCGAAACGGTTCTATTCAGCTGTGTTTTTGTCCTCTGCTTCAAACCTGTTACATTTAATTAGTACTGTTAGGAATGGGTACCTCTTGGGATCTAACCCGTAGTTCTTAGCCTATCTGCTTCCATTCCTCTATCCCCCTGACACATACTGCTACCCAGGGTATCTTTTTTTCTCCTGATCTCCTCCCTCCCCTTAAATAAAGATCTCTCCTCCTAGCCTCACAAATTGAAACTTTGCTTAATGTTTCCAGAAGGCCACTTCTAGTCAAGGGACGATTCCTGCCACTGTTCCTGTTTTTATCCCCCTGACTACCGGCACCAATCTTTCACCCTCTCTCTCCTTCTTTGTTGTTGTCAGAGGTATTCTTTTTCCACCCACAATCTCCCTGCCCTCAGAGAAAACAAAGGGTGTACTGTTGGGAAGGAGCTTGCCAACAGGCTGCAGAAGGAAGGTTTCAAAGTCCACTTTTAAAGCAGGCCCGGGAGCCTGTTAGGTGCCGGCTCATCGTTTCCTGCCCTGGGTGGATGCTCTGCCGGATGCCTGTTACTCAGTGTAGGAAGGAGCCGACTCTGGCTGCACTCCCCAGAGTCCATCATCACGAGCAGGAGGAAGAGAGGGAAGGAGGCTTGGAAGGCAGTGGGCGCTTGTATGTGTTGCTTTAGAGATGCCAGAGGTAGCAGGAGACCCAATCTGTTTCCCGTTTATATAGTATTCTCATTACTCATAGATTGTGGACATCCTTCATTCAGGTAGTTATGAATGCTCTTAAAGTCTCACCTCAAATAAAAGGTACATATTCTTAGATAAAATGAGTGCCTTGTCTCTACTACTTAATATTCTTACTGAATTACAGTTCTTACTAATAGTGGAGATGAAGTCTGTTGTGCTTTTTTTTTCAGGTGTAGTAGGACACAGAAGTAATTTTATGGAAATACCAAACCAGGACTGCATTTGTTTCCCTGAAATTTACATGAGAAACTGAACATAGGGCAGTGTCAGAGGGAAGGAAATGAAAGGGGAGGGATAGATGACAACTAAGGTTTATTGAATACTGTATGCCAGGTATTAAAGTAGGGAGTAGACAATGTACTGAAATCATCTCCGATTCCCCATAAACGGTGTGAGGTAGGCATTTTCCCATTCTACAGGTAAGGAAACCAAGGCCCAAGGTCACATAGCTGAGGGTGAAGCCAAGAGTCAAACCTGGGCCTGACTCCAAAACTCCTGATCTGCTTTAGAAATCACCCCTGTTAGAGAGGACTTGCCAGAAGATACACTTCCCGGATGAAAGACCAGAGAGGTGACTGATGGTGATTCTCCTTCATGAAATAGGTACTAGGTGCTCTTACTATATGCAGACCCTCCTGAAGGATTTTTTTAGCCTGAAAAATATTAGTGATTGTCTTAGAGCTTCTCTTCCTACTTTCCTCACAGTTGAAGTTTCTTTACTGTCATACGCAAAATAGAACAACTTAGTGCAAAGACTTCTTCCACCTGTGGCATGTGTCTCCCAGACCACGTTCTCTCACCCAGAGGGCCTGGTACCTTCCAAAAATGCAAAAATTCACTTAACGTCCTCCTTCCTTCCTTCCTTCCTTCCTTCCTTCCTTCCTTTCCTTCCTTCCTCCTTTCCTTCCTTCTTTCTTTCCTCCCCCCTTCCTTCCTTCCTCCCTTTCTCTCTCTCTCTCTCTCTCTCTCTCTCTCTCTCTCTCTCTCTCTTTCTCTTTAATCTGTTACCAAGACAACTCTTAAACTCTTCTCCAAACTTCATTGCTAAGGAAATGCAACTATTAAAAGGCCATTGCTCTGTAATTCAGGAAATTGAATCAACTTGTTTGGAGCCCTGAGCAGGGAGGACTAGAGCTGCACTGAGCCCGTATTGTGAGACTAAACAGTGCCCTGCTCTGCAGTGATTGGACCACGCAGAGGAGGATGAGCTGCTCTTCACAGCACCATGCAGCTCGCTCAGAGCTTTTCTCACCGCCTGAACTGCAGTTCTCTGTGCACCATGAGAATACTTTGTAAGATATTAACAGTTAGGGCAATTTCTTTTTTTACTTTATTTAGATTTTCACAAAAGTTCCTATATTTGTACAAGGAAATATATCTAATAAATAAAAGATTCTTAAATCATGAGCATTAAAAATTTCTGCAGGTAAATATTAAAATTATTGAGGTTGGGTAATAGTCACATGATGGTTCATGATACTGTTTTCTCTGCTGTTAGTATATTTTTTAAATTTTTCTGTAATAAAGGGATTAAAATATTTTTATTAGACTGCAGATAAATCTAACTCACATTTTGTAACTTCTTCCGATACTGCTAATCCAGAGATTGTAGTCTTTCCTTGCCTCTCTTCCCCTCCCTAACTTAAAACTAGTCAAATTTAGAGACATCAGGCAATAGATGGAAGGGAAGCGGGGAGGTAACGTATGGTTAGGCTCCAGAGCTCTGATCTGCTACTTCTTGAAATAATAAATTCTATGACAATCACTCACATTTTAGGTTCTAGATTGATAGCCACATAGACTATTGAGCACTGGAAATGTGGCTAGTGCTGCTGACAAACTGAATCGAGATGTGCTATAAATGTAAAAAACACACTAGATTTTGAGGACTTAAAACAAAAAATATCTCAGTAATATTTTATATTGACACTAGAGGCCTGGTGCACAAAATTCGTGCGTGGGTAGGGTCCCGAGGCCTGGCCAGCAATCCGGGCCGATTAGGGCCTTCTGGCTGCTGACTGGGGCCTTCCTTCATTCTGCGCCACCCCCTGGTGGTCAGTGCACATCATAGCAAGTGATCAAACTCCTGGTTGAACTCCCGAGGGGACACTTTGCATATTAGCCTTTTATATATATATAGATATGTGGAAATAATATTGTAGATATACTGGTTTAAATAAAATATTTTTCTAAAATTAATTTCACCTATATTTTTAACTTTTTAAAATGTGATCACTGGCCTGTGTGGTTCAGTAGTTGAGCATCAATCCATGCAACAAGAGGTTGTTGATTTGATTCCTGGTCAGGGCACAGGTCGGGGGTTGCAACTCGATCTCCAGTAGGACAGGTGCAGGAGGCAGCTGATCTGTGTTTCTATGTCTTCCTTCTCCCTCTACCTTCCTCTCTCTCTAAAAAAATTAAAAAGATGTCATTATTAGAAAATTCAAAGGCATATATGTGCCTCACATTGTATTTCCATTAGATAGTATTGCCCTAGAGTTTATGAGAAGATAACTTTATGTGACTGACTATTTATTCCTGATTAGGGCCCAAGACTGTAAAGTTAGATGTTAGCTTGTAAATGATTAAAAAGCTGATGGTTTCTGTTTATAATCAAAAGATAACCCCAAAAGTTTTCATTTTATGGCCCCCTAGGATACTAGTTTTGTATCTAGTTGGTAGATTTCATTTATCCATATTTTCTTTTCTTAATGGTTTGACTGGACTTATCTCTCATGGTTGTTGTACCAAGCAGAATGATTGTTGTAAGTCAAAAGTTAGATCACTTTTGTCTCTGGAAATTGTTTTAGCTATTCCTTTTTAATTAACTTTATTATTATTATTGTCTAGCTATTCTTGTATTCAAAAAGACTCTTGGTCCTATAGATCAAATGATATAATGGATATAAATTTAAGAGTGTTACTCTGTGAACTATTGTTTAATGTTTCTATTTAGAATTATGCTTCATTGAGTTGTCTTGCCTTGCTTCCCTAAAAGGACAGTTAGAAGGAAGTGAAAATATTGAATAACATGGATATTGAGTTACAGTTCTTTTCTTTCACTTGATCTGCTCATGTGTTTATGTACATAAAGGCATAGGAAATGTAATATTTTATGAATTTTTTAAAAAATTTTATTGATTTGAGAGAGAGAAATATTAGTTTGTTCTACCCCCTCCTTGCCCACAGGAATAGGGGTGATTTATGAGCCCCTCAGAAAAACAGAGAAGAAGCCGGTTGGCCGGAGCTGTGTCACCCTCTCACAGAACTCTGCTTGTGGCCTTCTTGAATACTTGGCTTTGCTAACCCTTTTGAAGTCACATTTGAGGGGCTGTAATAAATAGGAACCTGTTATACATTCCATCTGGCAATTTTTAAAATGTTTTATTTATTCTTAAAGAGACAGAGAAAGACAAAGAGAGAGATGTGAATTTATTGTTCCACTTGTTTATGCATTCATTGATTGCTTTCTTTTGTGTGATCGAACCCCAACCTTGGTGCATCGGGACAATGCTCTAACCAACTGAGCCACCCGGCCAGGGTCCACCTGGCTATTTTTTGTTTGTCTGCCTGTTCACATTGTCAGTTTGCTGCTGAGACTCAAAGGAGACAAGACAGTAATAAAGGGAAGTGTAGAAGACCAGAGGTCTGCGCTTCAGATCTCTTAGCTACCAAAATAAATAAATACCACAGAGCTGCCGTCCAGACGGAGTAGAGCTAAAAGTCCCCTTTTTTTTCTCACTCCTACCCCTTTCTCTTTTGTATCTAGAGGTTTGCGAAATCATTATGACGGTGAATTGTTAGGCATGATGTTTTATTTTATTAGGTTGGAATGAAATACAGAAACCTAATCCTGAAACCCGGGGGATCTCTGGACGGCATGGACATGCTCCAGAATTTCTTGAAACGTGAGCCAAACCAAAAAGCGTTCCTAATGAGCAAAGGCCTGCACGCTCCGTGAACTGGGCTCTCTGGTAGCAGTCCATGTCTGGAGGACAAGTCAACATCGCCTTGTGTGCTACTGGCCTGGAAACTGAAGGGAGTTTTGCAAATGAAAATGTAGATTTCTATTGACTGCCTTTTGTTCCTTCATTTGAAGAATTACACAGATGTAAATGGAATTATAAATACGGTGACCTACGAAAAGACCCATTCAAAAACAATTGTACTATAAAATTTCATAAAAATAGATTTGATTTCTTTTTTTATAAAAGTTTCATATGAATGTAATTTGATTTTTTTTACTCTTGTAATCTAAATAATACAATGTAAGAGGGCTCAGAATTCTTAAATTGAATCACATACATTTTATAATTTGATCCTACTTATGTCTTGCAGCTCTTTACTTGGGATTTCTGGACATAAGTGAATCACCACATTCCTCTGGTGAACATTTTCTTGGAGCCCCCCATCCACTTTGACTCTTTGTCTCACAGTCAAGTGTGACCTCTTTGCCTACATACCTCAGGGCCAGGGGAACATGCCTCAGTAATGCATTTATCTCTGTATTTCAGGCCTCGTGATCCCAACTTTCTGCCACACTTAAATTGTGTTCCTCTATTTGGGTTTGTCTTTTCTGTCCAAAGCCCAGTCAGAAAATACCGAACAGTTATGAACTCTAGCCTGGTGTAGATTGCAAATTTTTGTACCTTGTTTAGAGGATCTGGGGAGCTGGTATTAGAGTTCATTTTCACGTCGGGGTACAAGATTGTCAGTCTTTTGGCTCCATAGCCAGTGAAAACACTGAAGCAAGGAAACGTTCCCCGTATCACGTTTCTAGTAAGTGGTGGGGCCTCTGCCTCATTTACTGCCCACCTCACCCAAAGTGGCTGGTCCACCTGCCCCAAGTGGCTCTTTAGAGATAGAAGCTGACGCAGGAGAGGACCGCAGTAGAGTGGCTTCCGGACAGAGCGTCTTCGAGCAGCTCTCCCAGGTGGCAGGTGTGTGCTTACACTCAGCCACTTACTGAGGAAGGGGCCTCTTCAGGAGTCTGTTTTCAGAGACTCTTGGGATCTCTTTCAGCAAAATGGGGGCCTGAATTCCAGTTCTGTAGCAGACCAGTAAACTCACAGAGCTTATTTTTCCTCTAGGAGTCTACTCAATAAGAAAAACACAACAGGGTAATAAAACTTTTTAAAGGAAAAAAGCAAACTTTGAGTGTACACTACCTAAATCTTCCAGGTGCTCCCACTGTGTGCCTGAGGTCTGACTTCACTGGCCAGCCACAAAATTAGAACCTTTTTATTGTCTAGTCAAAATGGACTTTGTGCTAAGTAAAAAATATATATATATTATGCTGCATAATAAAATTATAGACAGCAGAAGAAGTCGACAGCTTTAGAGACACAGAAGAAAACCCCGAGGTTATGGGTGCCAAGCAAATACCTTAAACATCCACATGAAATCCTACCCTCCCTTTGGAGACAATTGCCTGGCCCTTTTCACTCCCCACTCAGTCAATGTCACCACCTCTCGTCCCCAAAGCTGTTTTTTATGTTCTTAGCAACCTGTGGTACTTTTCTATATATTTTCCCCAGACTGTTCTGTTTCCCAGTTTCAGACAAAAACTCTCTTCAGCTTTTTCTATTGCCCAGTGTTTCTCCTTAACAATAACTTTATCATAACTCTTAACTTACTTCACGTGGAAAAACTAATACTTGGTGTGAAAAAAGCTGCACACAATAAAGTTGCATTTATTACCCACGAGAATGAGCTCACATTTCTTTCATACCTGCATGTGAAAACTGAAGTGCATAGAAGAAATAAAGCTATGGTGTTCTTTTCACTTAAGGTGCACATCTAATAGTTAAAATCTGCCAAAGAACAGCAACAAAAATACACACACCAATATGTATATATTCTCTGGCATAATTTAAAACTAAGGACTTAGTGTTAAAGCTCTTTGGAATTTGACTATCCATCTGCTTGTTCTTTTTTTCCAGATCTGCGCATAAAGTGTCGACAGGCACTCTGAGTGGTGGGTAACCATAGAAATTGTAGTTGCACAACCTACACTTGAGGTTTGTGGACTGAGCCCACACATAAAGTCTCTCTTGCCCTAGCCAGTAGGTTCAGTGGATAGAGTGTCGGCCCAGAGTGTAGACTAAAGGGTCCCAGGTTCGATTCCAGTCAAGAGCACATACCTTGGTTGCAGGCTCAATCCCTGGCCTTGGTCGGGGCGTTTGTGGGAGACAACCAATAAATGTGACTCTCATCGACATTTCTGTTACTCTGTCTCTCCCCCTCCCTTCCTCTCTCTCTAAAAATCAATGGAAAAATATCCTCGGGCAAGGATTAACAACAACAAAAAAGACACTTGAACCCTGGCCAGTGCGGCTCAGTTAAGCATCTTCCCATGTACCGAGAGGTCGCAGGTTCAATTCCAGGTCAGGGCACATGCCCAGGTTGCGGACTCCATTCCCAATTAGGGGGCGTGCTGGAGGCAGTCCATTGATGTTTCTCTCATCAATGTTTCTCTTCCTCTCTCTAAAATCAATAAAAACATATATTTTAAAAATAGACACTTGATGTCTCTATTGACATCTTTGTGGCTAAGATGAGGATATGCCTGGATAATCATTAGGTGAATTCCTAGCTATTGAAACCACTTAAGAGAGTTGAATAATAATTCACATTAAAAGTTTTGGGAGCCATAACTGGTTTGGCTCAGTGGATAGAGCGTCGGACTGCAGACTGAAGGGTCCCAGGTTCTATTCCGGTCAAGGGCATGTACCTTGGTTGTGGGCACATCCCT